GTCCTGGCTCAAGGCAAAGCAAGCATAGCGACACCGCCCAACTAGCACAGCTATCGTTTCATTTGAGTGTCTCTCTCTCTCTCTCGTCTTATTCTGGCAGTGCGATGGATCAGACGAGCACGAGTATGTGGCACACGAGGCAGCAGCGACGGCACGAAGCAGCACGAAGAGATTTCGAACATGTGTGCTTTCGACTTCAAGTGATGGAATCTTCACTGCAACTGTTGATTTTTCGCGTGGAAGCTTTTAGTGACAAAGTCGGTGGACTTGAGAAGCAGGGCTCTCCAAGTTGCGACAGGCATGATCTTGCTGACGCGCCGACACGCTTAAGCCGCTCAGAACTATTACTTTTTCGCTCGCCTCTCACCGAGTTCCAGAAGCTGGGCAGCATGATCGAACATCTTCTGCCGCAGGCTGTGCCATCAAACCACATTCGAGAGCACAGGGTGCCAAAGTTTGAGGCCACCCCGGAGCATAAGGTACATGGTGCCCCAGATCAGCCTGAGTACGAACGCTCACCGGACAACAATAACCATCCCAGAGGCACCGACGATATCGCAGAAGCGAATCCGCGATCAGACCAGTTGTCCGTCGAGCTCGACTTCGACGCGGCGCAGATCGAGACGAGCAAAGGCGATATTCACGGGAGGGCTTCGCGCGCAGAGATGAGCGACAAGGGGGAACGCGCGGAGAATGTGACAAAAGCTGCGGAGGAGATTGGCGATGAGGAGGACAAGGAGGAGAGCAATGTCACGGAGGACGGGAAGTAGCAGACGAAAGAGGGGGCACCCAAATGGTTCTGGCAGTTCGAGAGCAAAACGATGGCCAAGTTTGATGAGCTCCACGAGGTCATGGGCCAGGTCACGTGAGTCGTTTCTCGGCAGGCGCGCCTCGCCGAAGCGACGGACAGGCGCCCAGCTTGCATTTGCCGAGGCTACGGCCTCCGCGCCGTGCCCTGAGGGCGCGGGCGGGCTCCCCAGTGGATCGCGCACGACTCCGGCGCTTCGTTCTGTCGCGCGTCGTGGCCCCGCAGGGAGCTCCTTCGAAAGTCCCAGTGGCGCGGCCCGCGCGCGTCCGTCCCAGTCATCTCGGCGCACCCCTCACGCGCGCCGTGGCCCCGCAGGGAGGCCCGCCGAAGGTCCCAGCGGTGCAGTCCAGATGCGTCCGCCCCATGGATTTCGGCGCACCCCTCGCGCTCTTCTGTGGCCCCATCGGGGGGTTCCGCCGAAGGTTCCAGTGGCTGGCCACGTTCGCGCGCGGCCGCCCCGCCCATGTCGGCGCGCCCATCGCTCAGTTCGTGGCGCCGCAGGGAACTCCACCGAAGGTCCCAGTGGCCATGTTCGCAAGCGGCAGCCCCGCCCATTTGGGCACGCCCCTCGCGCGCTCCGTGGCGGCATGGGGAGCTCCACCAAAGGCGATACTCACAACGACAGTATTCGCAATTGCATGAGGCTGGATTGCGCCCCCCGAGCACACCCCAACGCGTCGGTTCCGGAGACGTGGGCGCTTTTGGGTTGCCTCCGTGGGGTGGGCGCGCGATCTCGGGAGTGCGGTTTTGTATTTGTTGTCGAAGGGTTGTGGCCACTGGAGCGCGCATGCGTGGTTGTTCGCCGTGGGCTGAAGCCCCGGGAACGCGCGTCGTGAGTTCGATATCGGCTGTGGCTTCGGTAATGCGATCGCGTTGTAATTTGAACAGGGATTGTGGCCTCGGGAACGCGAAAGTCTAGTAACGTAATGTTCAAGGGATTGCGGCCCTGGGCGTGCTGCAAATCGCACTGGGCAGCGGTTTCGGGAGCACGTTTTGGGATTGCAAGTTCGATGTATGTGAGGAGGGGTTGTTGCCTCGGGAGCGCGAGCGCGACGTAATTCGATCTGGATTGTAGCCTCGGGAACGCGAGTGTGTTGTGCGCGGTTCTCAGTGAATGATTGTGGCCTCGGTAGCGCGAAAGTGAAGTCATTCGTATGGGGGTTCTGGCTTCGGGAACGCAGCGCGTTTTGATTCACAATGGGATTAGGGCCTCGGGAGCGCGAGCGTGACATAGTTTACCCGGGTTTGCGGCCCCGGGAGCGCGAGCGCGACGCGAATTACCCAGGACAGATTTCGGGAACGCGAACATCTGGTGATTTTCGATGATTTGCGGCCTCGAGAGCGCCAGCGCGTTGTGATTTGCACGGGTCGGGAAGGGGAACTCCTCGCATTTTCTGTAATTATGTCCCAGGGTCCCCCCTGGCATTCTGAGAGCATTTTTCTGGGAGGGGGCCTGGGTGGTTTTCGGGCCGCAGTCCTGGGGCGTTCTTCAACCAGTGCAACATTGAAGCCAGAAACCAGACAAGTAGAACATGTGAGGCAGCGTGGACCCCAAGCAGTGAGTCATTCAATTGTACGCCCCCGAGGCAGCAGGCACCGGTGATTAGGATCGTGCACGGATGGAAGCCGAGGAGGGTACGGAGAAAAACCCAGAGGAGAGGCGGAGGCGAAGTGCTGGGAGGACGGAAGAGGCTCAGGATGGGGCAGGTGGAAAAACAATTTGGAATCGAATATGGGGCAGTAGCAGGGGGAATATCCGCAGGCGGAGAAGAGGAATAATAAACGTCGGAGAACGAGGAGGTGCAGGAGGGTGTGGATGAGGGGTTTGTTGCTGTTGTTGTTGTTGTTGCTGTTGCTGTTGCTGTTGTTGCTGTTGCTGTTGCTGTTGCTGTTGCTGTTGCTGTTGTTGCTGCTGTTCTTGTGGTTGAGCTCTCACTTCGGAAGAATAATTATTGCTGATCCCCCCGTCCGGTGCACATTGTTTTTTCGATTGAAGCGCCCTTTCCCGAGGCTCGCACCTGTTTTTTGTCCAGGGAAAGTCTTGAGGGTCAAAGTGTGTTGTTGGCCCCCGGTCTACAACAACAGCGGCTCCCGCCTGATATTTCCAAACAATTTATTGAAGAATCGCGCTTTCGCTTGGGACTTCCTTGCAATTTACCGCCGGATCGCGGCTTCCGCTTGATACTTCTTCGCAATTTATTGAGGAATTTCGCTCTCGCTGGGGACTTCCAAATTACGACCGAATCGCGGCTCCCGCCTGATACTTCCACACAATGTATTCAGATGCCGCTCCTCGACACTCAGGAATCTCGCTCCCGCTACATATTGCCTGGCGGTTCAAGCAGAATTCATGCTTCAACGACCCGCCCGCTCGACCCGCCCGTCTGGGCTTGCCCGCCCGACAAGCCCGTTGGGGACTGCAGTCGCCGCTCGCTGCCCTTCGCCCGCCTTCGATGCCCCTCGCTACCCGTACTGGTTCCGCGGTCGCTTTCGCTCGCTGCCTTTCGTGGCCCCGTTGCTGCCCTCAATGGCCCCGTCGCTGCCCATAGTGGCCCCGCATTGTATGCCCTTCGTTGCCCCTGCTCGCAGTCGCCCGTCGTGGCCCCATACGCATGCCCTTCGTAACCCCGGTGTCGCCGTTCGTGGCCCCTTCTCTGCCCTTCGTGGCCCCGTTTCTGCCCTCAGCGGCCCCGTCGCTGCTCCCTTCCTCCTTCTCCTTCCCTTCCTCCCTCTCCTCCTTCCCTTCCTCCCTCCTTCCCTTCTTTCCTCCCTTCCTCCTCCTCCTCCTCCTCCTCCTCCTCCTCCTCCTCCTCCTCCTCCTCCTCCTCCTCCCTCCTCCTCTTCCTCCTCCTCCCTCCTCTCGTCGGGGTCGTCGTCGTCGTCGTGGTGAGCCCGCTGTCTGTCCATCTTGGGGTCGGGTTGCCGCGGGTCGGTGTGTGCATCGCCAGCGTTGCCAGTGGCCAGGCCGACGGTCCGCCGCTTGCTGGGGCCCCGGTGGCCGGCCTTTGAGACGCGCGTGTTCCATTGGCCCAGGTTTTTCAACAGGCTTCGAGTGAAGGCCTCCCTCGACGAGGCCCCCGGTGCGTCCCCAAAGGTTTTCGGAACCTCTGGAAGTGCTCGGTGGTCATCGGGGCCATTCCGAGGTCCCCCAGAGGTCATAGGAGGCTTTCGGGTGCCTTCCAATGCCCCCGTGCTTTGTTTCCGCACCAGTTTCCGCTCGTATCCACCTGCCCCCAATTTTCAACGTTCTTTCCCAGTCTTCTCTACTCTGTCCCGTTATCTTCATTCTCATTTCGTTCGTACTCCAGTGTGCTATCCCTCAGTTCTTCGCATTCCGCCCACTCCTCTCCAGGCCACCCCACCCCGCCCCCACAATCTCCACCCGTTTCCGCTCGCATTCCGCACTTCTCCCAATTATTCCCAGCCCTTCCTCCAAATTCCTCCGTGCGCCCCCCGCTCCTCCGCAGTCCTCCCGGTTCCTCTTCTCCGCTTGCCGCTCCTCCTGAGGCCCTGCTCTTTGTCCACTCCATCCCAATCCACTCCGCATCCCCGCGCTCCTGTCGACGCGGTTGCAGTTCTCGCTATCCTTCCGCCCCGCTCTCCCGACACCCCGCTTCTTTTCAGGGTTCCACGAAATTTGTTTCTGACGCGGGTTCGCAGCTGCGCGTCCCCCCCCAGGGGCATCCGCGATATGTTCTTTCGAGGGGGCGGTTCGCGGCGCTGTCTATGGCGCGACCCATGGCGAAACTCATTGTTGACGTGCGTTGGAGTGGCTGGCGCAAGCCACGGCGCGAGCTGAATCGCCACTCGCAGCGCAAATCATCTTCCTCCTTCCTTCGCCCTCCCCTCCCTTCCGATCCTTTCGTCTTCATTCCTCCCCGTTATCTGTTGCCCTTCGTTTTCAAGGGAATCGCCGACCGCGCGTGGCAGGGAATGAATGCACCCCCCGAAAAGGGGGTGCGATCGAAGAAGAAGAGGGCGGGCGTACAGGGTTTGGGACATGCACATTGAACGACACGCGAGCAGGTAAGAGCGAACAGTCTTGACGTGATTGTTGTTGTTGTTGTTGTGGTTGTGGTTGTGGTTGTGGTTGTTGTTGTGGTTGTGGTTGTGGTTGTGGTTGTTGTTGTTGTTGTTGTTGTTGTTGTTGTTGTTGTTGTTGTTGTTGTTGTTGTTGTTGTTGTTGTTGTTGTTGTTGTTGTTGTTGTTGTTGTTGTTGTTGTTGTTGTTGTTGTTGTTGTTGTTGTTGTTGTTGTTGTTGTTGTTGTTGTTGTTGTTGTTGTTGTTGTTGTTGTTGTTGTTGTTGTTGTTGTTGTTGTTGTTGTTGTTGTTGTGCTGTTGCTGCTGCTGCTGCTGCTGCTTGCTGTTGCTGTTGAATGTTAGTTACCGAATTACTATTGTCGGACCCCTTAAAGGCGCCTTGGCGCTCTCGCCGAGGCGTCGGCTGCATTTTCATTGAAAATGAGGCTCGCGCTCGAGCGGTTTGGGGGGCCGCCAAAACCGGCCCCCCGATAACGCCAACGCTCCCGCTCGAGATTTCCTCTTTTTTACTCAGGGCTGGTTTTCTTGCTCGCCGCCGACAGCCGCCGTCCAAACAAAACCATCGCTCCCGCTCGGGACTTCCTCCCGTTTCACCTTGGGCTGGCGCGCTAGTCTTTCTCTCATCGGCGCCGCCCCCGGCAAAAACGACGCTCCCGCTCGAGGCGTCCATTTTTTCAACTCACGCCGGTGCTTCTCCTCGCCGCTGAAAGCCGCCACGCCGACAAAACCAGCGCTCCCGGCCGAGACTTCCTTCCGTTTTACGCTGGACTGGCGCCCAATTCTCAATTGAATTGGCGCCGCTCCCAGCAAAAACAACGCTCCCGCTCGAGGCTTCCTCCGTTTCCCATGAAGACGGTGCTGTTCCTCGCCGCCGACAACCCCCGCCCCGACAAAACCACAGCTCCTGCTCGATGCTTCCTCCCTTTTTACTCACAGTGGTGTTCCTCTTCGCCGACGAAAGCCACCACACCGACAAAACCAGCTCTCCCACCCGAGATTTTCTTCCGTTTTACGCTGGGCTGGCGCACTATTCTCTTCTGGATTGGCGCCGTTCCCAGCAAAAACGGCGCCCCCGCTCGAGATTTATGTTATTTTTTTCCTCGGGGCGGTGC